GTACGTACGTACGTAACGTAACTAACTAACTAACTACTACTCTCTCTCTCTCTCTCTCTCTCTCTCTCTCTCTCTCTCTCTCTCTCTCTCTCTTTCTCTCTCTCGCAGGCATTGAGAGTGGAAGGAGGACCCCTGAACCCACTCAAGCTCATATGTACTTGGCTACTTAAGTTGGGCACTGAATTAAAAAAGAACCAAAGCAAGGCTGCAGGGACATTCTGCAATTATTCTTGTTTTGATGGGGATATAAATACATTTCTCAACCAGCTTTAGATATCCTGTCCTTGTATCAGCTTCATTTGGTTATCATAGTTGCTATGGCACCATATCCTAGCTTGATTCTTGAATGTCATCAGATGCCTTGGGTCCATCTGAGAAGGAAAACCAAGCCCGCTTCAGATACTGCATTTGGAGGCCTGAGCAAGTGGAAAAGTTCAAATCTATCCATCACCATATGCCTTCTGCATATTACACCCAGGGGAAAAGCCAGTTGAAGGCCATCACACATCCTGCTGGGGGTCATGGGAGAACATAAATAGGTTTTATTGTCTCTGTCTCCTCCTCAACTGAAGGCAACAGAATCATGTAACCACCTGAAATAAACTCCGAAGCTCTTTGGTTACCTTCATCTAATGAAGGATATCTCACCCGAACCTGGGGGAAGAAGAAATGGACCTCATGGATAGTCAGATTGGTCTATTCAGTTCTCCAATTCTAGAAATGCTTCTGAATGAGTAGGCTTTGGGGCTTTTATTATCATTTTTCTTCTTGCCTTCCTTCTTTTTTTTTTTCTGCTAAACTTTCAGCCTGAGGAAGAATTCTGGGAGATGGTATAACACTGTACAAGGATGGAAATTTTGTCTCTGATTTATTTTATCATGCTTCCCTGCCCAGAGTCACTTGTGGAGATGGGCGGCCATACAAATTGAATGAATAAATTAATAAATAAACCCTGTGCAACATTTCGGTTGGTCTCCACTGCTGTGTTTTAATTTGCTGCATAAGCCAACTCTGAAGAGGTGAAGGGATTGTAACATAATGGAACCAACTGTGAGGTTACAGGAAGATAGAGCAATAGGGTCTTACCCCACAAGGAAAAGGGGGAGGGATATTTGATCCTCAGGGTTGTAGCAAATGTTTCTGCCCTCTTGGAAGACATCGTTGATCAGATGCAACTCAATTCCTTAATAGGTGGGAGGAGGAAAGGGTGACCTTTAGCTGAGTGGGAACCACCAAGGTCTTTTTTTTTTAGTCTTCTGGCCATTTATGTCTATTCACTCATCTTCCTTGCTGTAGAAAGTGCTGGTAGCTTGGCCAATAACCTTTTCTTCTGCATTTATTAAGGTGTGGTGACATCCCCCCGTTTTTGTCTTCTGAAATTATGGGCTTGCTATATTAAAAGGAGCATGCCAGATATAATTCAAGGGGCAAAAGAGACTGACAATTCATCCCCTCTCCAAACCTCATGCAACTTTGCATTGCATTTATTATTCCCTCATCCATAGTAAAAGAAAAATAATAATTTTAATTTTAAATAATTTTAAACAGTACTCCATAGGTATTTTGGCTGCCGAGGAATGGAAAGCGATGTCCCATGATTAGGTCATGTTGAACAACTACCATGAGGAAGAGCAATGGAAGGATATTATAGTATTATGGAAAATGAAAAAATGAGTAGCTTTATGTTCCACGGGATAAGTTGTATGGAGCTAACAGGACCAGCAAAAAGAAACCCAAAACAGCCTTATGATTTATGCTTAATGTTTTTAACATCATCTCATCAGCCTGGGTTACTTACTGTTACTGGAAAGGTGAGGTTGAAAAAGATGGAGCTGAAATAATCAACCAGCAGAGATCCAAGAAGAGTCCGCTCTAACGTGGGTGGGCGTGCAAGAGAGAGGAAACTGCCCCAGTTCTTTGAATAAGGCTCCAAAAAGCCTCCTTCAGCTCGAGAGCATAATTCTACCCTATCAATGACCAAACGAAGTCGATATTAAGCAAGGGAGAGCCAGCTCTCCTCTGTGCTCACTGGAGCATCACTGGAATGTTGTCCTGGCATTTAGGAAGAGCAATGTCAGCTAGAACAAGCCAGAAGACCTTTCCAACTTGCAACATAGAACAACCCAATGATTGCTGCCCTAAATAGCTCTTTTTTTTTGGAGAAAAGAGCTGACTGGCTTATTTTTCCCATGCTACAGTCTAAGAAGAGCAGTGGTGGAGTTTTGAAAACTCTAGGTTGGAGTGTCTTTGTCCTTGCTAGAGTTTTCCAAGTAAGCTGTTAATGGAGTGGAAGGTTGAGGGGGGGAGAAAAGCTTCATGCTGTACTTGCTTGCTGGGCCATCCTTGTCACGACAGCCTTAGGGGAGAGTTGGGTTTATTTTTTGTTGTTGTTCAGTTGTTAAGTCGTGTCTGACACTTCGTGACCCCATGAACCACATCGCTCCAGGCCTTTCTGTCCTTCACTGCCTCCCTGAGTTGGCTCAGTTTCATGCTCATTGCTTCA